AATATGGAACGCTTCACAAATTTGCATGTCATCCTTGCGCAGGGGCCATGCTAATCTTCTCTGTATCGTTCCAATTTTAGTATATGTGCTGCCGAAGCGAGCACTGAAAAAGACTCTTAACTGCCTAAAACCTCATGATGGATCAGCTTTGTTTCCAGATGTGTATTTGCCATGACCTTATTCTCCAGGTACAATCCCCTAGAACCCATCTTTTAAAAAGTAAATGATACTACCTACCATCTAGGCTTTATCCATGACAGTACATAGAATAAAGTTTCTGCTTTTGAAATCAGAGAGTCCTTTATTAGCAAGGTGACTGTGGTTTTTCTAGTCTGTAAAACAGAGTAATAATAGTAATGATTTCATAGAGTTATTATGGAATTAAATGAGAGAATGTATGTGATGTACTTAGAGAATGTATGCGTGCTCAGTTGCTCAGTCATGTCCAATTCTTTGCGGCTCCATCAACTGCATCCCACCAGGCTCCTTTGTCCATGGAATTTTCCAGGCAAGAATACTGAAGTGGGTTGCCATTTCCTCCTCTAGGAGATCTTCCTGACCCAGGGAACAAACCTGCATCTCCTGCATTGGCAGATGGCACCTAGAGTATTGTTCTAGTATAGATAATATAGCTCAATTGGTAAAGAATCCACCTTCAATGCAGGAGACCTTGGTTCAATTCCTGGGTGGGGAAGATCCACTCGAGAAGGGATAGGTTACCCACTCCAGTATTCTTGGGCTTTCCTTGTGGCTTAGCTGGTAAAGAATCTGCCTGTAATGTGGGTTTGATCCCTGGGTTGGAAGGATCCCTTAGAGAAGGGAAAGGCTACCCAACTTCAGTATTCTGGCCTGGAGAATTCCGTGGACTGTATAGTCCATGGGGTTGCAAAGAGTCAGACACGACTGAGCAACTTCACAGATAATACTAGCATTCTTGAACAAGTATAGAAACAACAGCAGGACCCTGTGGCAGCCAAGTATATGATGACTCCTATTCCTATCTTCTTCATGAGGTCTCCCTTTGAACCAAACAGATCCTTTAAAATAAAATAAATGAGACCTATTCAATGAGCACATTCATGCAGTAACAAAAATACAGGCTTTAGAATCAGGCAGCCATAACTCAAACTCAGGTCAAGCTATTTTTTTTTTTTTTTTAGTTTCAGATTACATATTTGTAAAAATGAAGTGCATACCTCCTGCCTTCAGGCTTAGGAAGACCACATTAAAACAGATTGCCAGTTCCAGGCATTTAAGTGTATTTAAAGTAAAGATTATTTTCTTTGCTTCTACCTAGCATTACGACTTGTGTTCAGAAAGTGTCCTTAGAATTGAAGTTGTGGTAAGATTTTGCTCCTGGTACCCAGAAATTTTATCCTTGTTTCTTTCTGGGAGTCTGCCTCTTCTTTGACCTTGACTTAGCTGTGAATTCTATCCTACTCTCAGACCATATTAACATTGACAGGGTTGATTTTCACCCCTGGGGACTTGGGGGACCATGGAGAAAGTGGCAGAACACAGAAAGAAGGCTGCAACCATCACAACACCCTCCATGGGCACATGAGGAGGTAAAAGCTTCGGGTAGTGATCTTGGAGAGACAGTAGTGAGTGGTGGTTTGAAGCAAGATCTTAGTTCCCTGCCCAGGAATTGAACCTGGGTAGCCCAGATGAAAACCAGAAATCCTACCCACTAGATCATCAAGGCTAGAGGCTAGAAGCAAATTTTCCCTGGCTCTTGCCCCATTGAAAAATGCATTTTTCAAGGACGCAAAAACTGTAAAAACAGGTACCAAGTTTATTATTAGAGACACACGCAATTGGGAGAGCACACAGAGAAAGTTTGTTTAAATAAGACAAGAAGCAAGGCTAAGACTCACACCTGGAGAGCAAGGGTGTGGATGTCTTCTTAATGAGGAAGAGCACAATAAGGAGGCAGTTAAATCACTTGTAGAAGGCAGTTCTGCATCTTTGTTTACCTTTGGTCAATTATCTTGCTTCCTTCTCCACACCTGACCTGCCCTAGGACCCTTCCCACAAGCATGTGCAACATTTTTCCAAGATGGATTCCAGCCCAGAGGCCTACTGGGGGGTCTAGGCATCACATATTATGGGACAGTGCCCCCTCCTTTTGACCCCTAAGGAGCCTTTCTGCAGTTGTGCAGTGTCTCCCTGGCCCCAAGGATGAAAGCTCTTGATCTTCTGCTCAACAGGGTTTAGTCCCTCTTTGTCCCTGCCATAGCCGTTATCTAAAAGTGTCCACAGGGGACAAAGCCTGGCTACTTACCCTGTTTCTGTTGTTATTTCTTATATATAGTTAAGCATATAAATCAAATATACATTTTTATATATTTCAAACAAATATAATATTTATATTTCAAATCAAATATTTATATAGATTAGGTATATATATATATGTATATATATATGCTTTTCTCTCTTTCTGGAGAACTGGAGCTACTCTCTGGACTTAGGCGGTGACTCAGGGGTAAAGAATCGGCTGGCAACGCAGGAGACCCAGGTTCGATCGCTGGGTTGGGAGGAGCCCCTGGAGGAGGGCATGGCAATCCACTCCAGGACTCTCGCCTGAAGAATTCCAGGGACAGAGGAGCATGGCGGGCTACAGTCCATAGGGTCGCACAGAGCTGGACACGACCGAAGTGACTGGGCGGCAGCAACGGCAGCAGCAGAGGCTACCCTCTAGTTGAGATGTGCAGATTTCTCAATTTGCAAAGTGCGGGCTCTAGGGCTCATGGGCTTCAGTAGCTCTGGCACGTAGGCCTAGTAGTTGGAGCTCCCAGACACTGCAGCACAGCCTCAATAGCTGCAGTGCACGGAATTAGTTAGTGTGCAGCACGTGGGATCTTCCGGGATCAGGGATTGAACCCCTGTCTCCTGCATTGGCAGATGGATACTTGATCGCTGAGCCACCAAAGAAGCCCTGTTATTTCTCTTTTGAAGTGCAAACAGAAGGCTGATTGTAAATATCTAGCCTTGATCCCACCTGCCTTCTCCCTCAGAAAACATAAACAGGAGGCTAGTAGTAAATGCCTAGCCTGGTGTCCTTCTATCTCCTGCCTCAGTAGTAACCATCAACCTGGTTCTGTTTACCCAGCCATAATGTCTTGAACGTACTCCCTGGTGCCTCAATCCCAAAGCACAAGAAAATTAAAAAAAAAAAAAAATGAGAAGTAGTAGTTATGTTAAAAATCTGCTAGTTGATTCCTCCTAGTTCTCATGCCCTGATGGAAGGCCATGACATCTACAGCAGCCTAACCTGAAACTGACTTTCTCTTTAAGGTTGCTTGATTGTAGGGTTCAGAGAGTGAAATGCTTTGTACACTGTATAATATGAAAGAGATTAGGTTGGTGATGTCACAAGAGGTTTTCAACAGTGTCAGTAGAAGCTGTAGTGATGACTAAGGAAATAGATAAGTGGCACCATATAAAGGAGTTCCCCTGGATATGCATGTGGAGAGTATTAGTCACAGGTAGGAGACATTTTGGAGAAAGTAATGGCACCCCACTCCAGTACTCTTGCCTGGAAAATCCCATGGACGGAGGAGCCTGGTAGGCTGCAGTCCATGGGGTCGCTAAGAGTCGGACACGACTGAGCGACTTCACTTCCACTTTTCACTTTCAAGCATCGGAGAAGGAAATGGCAACCCACTCCAGTGTTCTTGCCTGGAGAATCCCAGGGACGGGGAAGCCTGGTGGGCTGCCGTCTATGGGGTCGCACAGAGTCGGACACGACTGAAGCGACTTAGCAGCAGCAGGAGACATTTACAACAAAAATGTTTCACTCTAGATTTTAGAATCCCAGGTGTTAGCTCGCAAGGGTCAAGTAAAATAAGAAATAAATTAGAGCAAAACACCCAAGTGAGTTAGCCCCTTGGTGCACACTGGGAAATTGGTTTTGATTTATATGCTTACATATATGACTAGGAACATAAGGCAGATCTCACCATTTCCAGGACCAAAGCAGGGTTCGTGGAGCTGGGCCCAAGAGGACCGCAGGAAGTGAGACCTGGAGAACTGCCATCACCCTGGAGACACCCAGCCTCCAGCAGGCCCTGGCGTCACAGGAGACTGTCGCCTAGCCAATCGGAGGTTCATCGAATGCCCCAGAAGAGGGAAAGGCAACCGGGAAGCAGTTGAAGAGCTCAAGCTCGGATTTGCATTCCAAAGCAGTTCTACGGCGTGAGTCCGCCGGGGCAGAAGGAAAGCCCTTTCCTTTCCACAGCTTCACCGGAGGACAGTTCCCAGGAGGAGCCCGGAGCTGGCTCGGCGGCGCCACTTGGTCCCTCAGGAAACGGGGGCGAGACGACGGCCAGCGCCTCGTTTGAAGCCAGTCCGCCCTCCTGACCCTCACCTGCAGCCTAAGGGCGAGGGACACGCCTTCGCTCCCGGATCTCGGGGCCGGGTCAATAAGCAGGGCGGGGTAAATGTTTCCAGGCGCTCGATTCCCTCAGTGGCTAAACATTTGTTCTGTGGGTGCCAGACGCTGACCTGGGCCGGTTACGTGGCTAATGTACACCGTGACCTGAAGTCTGTGTTAACTCCTTGTTTCCTTCTCTACAAGGGGGCGCAGGAGGCGTCGAGAAGGGCAGCGCCCCGCCCCGAGAGCAGCAGGATCCGCGCTCGGGCCCTCGACCCCAGAGGCCGCCCCCAGGTCTTAAGGCCTTTCCCCGGGGCGCCGCAGGTGGGCGCGCCGCTGACCCCTCGGGGACCCCGCCCCGCCCCCTCAGGGCCCCGCCCCCTCGAGGACCCCGCCCCGCCCCGCCCCCTCTGAGCCCTCGCCCCCCGCCCCCGCCCCCTCCCTTCGCGCCCCGCCCCGCCCCTCCCGAGACTCCGCCCCTCCTCTCCCCGCCCCCTCCCGGGACCCCCGCCCCCTGGGGACCCCGCCCCGCCCCGCCCAGCGCCCCGCAGCGGCCGGGGGAGGAGCTGGGGCCGTGCGGGAGGAGTCTCGAGCGGCGGAGGCCGGGCGGGCTCGCGGCACAGCCATGGCGTTCGGCAGGAGTCACCGGGACCCATACGTGAGCTCCCTGGGCCAGCTAATAGGTAAGGGGGGCCCCGCGCCCCGACTCCGTTCCCCGCCGCACGGGACCGCGTGGGTCCCGGCTCGAGGAGGTCCCCGCCTCCCCGCAACTTTCCCGGGCCCGCGCCGGCTGGTGCGGCGACACCCCTGTCCCGGCCCGTCCGTCTCGAAGCCCGGCACCGCACTGTTCCCCAGCGCCTTCCAGGGCGGGTCGGCTCCGCACTGTTCCCCAGCGCCCTCCAGGGCGTGGGAGCGGACAGGTGGCCCGGGGGGCGGGGGCGGCGGGACTGGCCCTCCGCGGGAGTGCCACCCTCGGGGCAGGGCGAACCTCTGCGGGAGCGAGCCAAGGGTTGTGCCCGCTCTGCGAGGGGAAGGTTCCAGGAGGGCGAGTGAGGTGACCTCGCCGGCACAGGCAGGTGTCCAGACGCGTGCTTGCGGATTTCAGGCCGTTACAGCCCGAGCTCCTTTTTCGGGAGGAACAAAGAGGAGGGACACGCTGAGCACAGGAGCGAAGGAAGGGGAGGCCAGGCTCTCTCCCGGGGGCAGCAGAGGCGTCTGCGGGCCACCGAGGGCCACACAGGTTTCTCCCCGACTCCTTTGGTTCTCCCGTGGGCGCGCCCCCGGCGACGTACGCGGAAGCCGGAGCCGGGCCCGGGGCTGCTTGCCGACGCCGCTCCCTGCCCCCTTGGCTGCGTGCCTCCCTCAGGAATCGAGAGTGGCACCCGTGCCCGCAGGTGCCAGTCACAGCGGGATCATGTCGGCGAACTTAGTGGGACGAGGAAATCAGGAGAGCCTGGTAGTCAAGGAAGATCAGATGTGGACAGTTTAGCCTGCAGTTTAGTTAACTGCTGTTTAAAAAGAACAGGCCACCCAACATGAAGCTTGGTTCCCACAACTTTATGAGATAGTGAGTGTAACTTCCATTGAGGAGGAAATGCTTTCCAAACTGTTGCTGGCTTTTTCTCTGTCGGGTGTTAAGATAAACCCTTACCAGAAATGGAATCGGACTGCATCTTCATAGTTTGATTTATTCTTTGGTGGTATGCATATTGACTGACCGCTAACTGTATGCCTGGACCTGAAGCAGGCACAGGCAAGACCTGGTCTCAGCCATCAAGGTATGGGGACGATACATATATGGGGAAATGATTCTAGTACAGTACCTTTGTGATAGTAGAGAAATGTAAAACATCCAAAACTTATGAAAAGGGAAAACTTAACTCTGCCATGGCTTTTGAAGGGTTAGGAGATTTCTAGGAAGATGGGAAGGTGGGAGGAAGGAGCCTGGGATGGGGAGCAAAGAAACTGCCTGAAAGAACTTTGTGAGCAAACACTAGGTTGGTAAGCTTTGTCCATCTTGAATGCCAAATGCACATACTGCTTCTCCTAAGTGGGGAGCTTTGGAGTTTAAGGCTCCAAAGTTTAAGGCTCGGCTTTGGAGTTCCACCAGCCAAACCTTTATCCTCTTCTTAATCCTTTTAATTAATTTTTGCTCCTTTCCCTGTTGGTTCTCATGTTTTCACGCTCAGGAATATTCTCCTTTCCTTGTAGGAAAGATGTTAAGATCACTCAGGTTGAGTGTTCTATGAACCTCTTTGCAGGTGGCATTCTGTATTCTTAAGGAGGCTGTCTGGACAGGGAAAAACTATTTGATTGTTTAATGATGGGCTTCCAGGTGCAGGAGCCTTCAAGTTTGTCTGGTGCAGCACTGGTTAATACAGGTGCTGACAAGTACACAGTTTCAGCAGATCTCTCTTTTTCTCAACACCACTCGTCCAAGGAGAATACGGACTTAAAGCCAGCAAAAACAACCTATATTTGATGCTAGTTCTACCTTGTACTGACTGTGTGGCCTTGGGTAATTTCCTTAACCTTCTTGAACTTCTATGTCATCATCTCTGACAGTGGGTTAAATGAAGTTGCGTAAGATAAAATACTTAGCAGTATGCACTTCACCTTGTGGGTGTCTGTCCTTCTCTGAAAGACAGGCAGGCAGATGGAGATTAGGTGGGCTAGTTTAGCCCTGCAGCCTTTATTAATATAGATCATTTATTACTTTGGCAACAGCAGCACTCTGAACCTGGATCTTGACTGATTCTTGAATTACTGGGAATTGCTCAAAAAAAAAAAAAATCTCTTTGCCTTTTGGTGATATAAACTTAATGGTGTTTGCTAGGGAACCCCAGGCAGATTGTTTCTGGAAAACCAGACATGTTTGGGGCTTCTCTGGTGCTTTAGACAGTAAAGGATCTGCCTGCAATGCAGGAGACCCAGGTTCAATCCCTGGGTTGGGAATATCCCTTGGAGAAAGGAATGGCAGCCCACTCCAGTATTCTTGCCTGGAGAATTGCACGGACAGAGGAGCCTGGCAGGCTACAGTCCAGGGGGTCAAAAAAAGTCGGACATGACTGAATGACTTAACACTTTCACTTTTTTTTGAGACATGATTTTATTCTGTTGTAGCTCAGACTCAACATAACTTTTTCTTTGCAGAAAAGGCTACGTTTGCTGGAGTGCAGACGGAAGACTGGGGCCAGTTCATGCACATCTGTGACATAATTAACACCACCCACGATGGGTGAGTTCAGAGTGTGGTTCATGTGTTTGTCTCTCATGAGAAGCGTCAGAACTATAGTGTGTTTTCTCCTGCAAACTCGAGTTTTCTCTTGCAGACTTTGTTTTTCTTGTTGAAATAGTGTTTCCATCACCTTTTAAGCACCCACTGCCTTTTGAAGACATGTCAGGTTGAAATATTAGGACAGCTGTTTTTTTCAGCATGTGGAATATCTGAGAATCCATTATAATTTTTCTCTTTGCCTTTTCCTTAATAATTTCAAATTTTGTCTCTGTGAGGCTCAAATCCCTTGTTCTTTAAGGAGAAGGGGAGATATTCTTTCCTTCTTTAGGAATTCTTCTTGCTCTGATTGCCAATATTTTATGTTATTGTAACTGAAAAATATTATGAAGAAGCTAGTGGACTCCTGGTGGTGAACTGTCTCTGAGCAGTTGTAATTATCAACCGGGAAATAATCTAACAGTTGTTTTCCTCTGCCTGTCACAAGACAATTTTTTCTGCTGAATGCCAACTCATCCATGTTTATGCTGAGTTCTTAAACAATATGATATCTTTTGTTACACTTCTTAAACTTTAAGCAGTTGAAGTTTAAACAAAATCATTAAGGCTACTTTGTGACTTAGGCTGAATTACAACTTATTGTAAGGGGTACGGTTCTCTTGATTTTCCTGTACATTTAAAGTAATCATGAACAGCTAAAGAGATTATCTTAGTTTATGTTAATGAATGCAGAGTTCCAAAGAATAGCAAGGAGACATAAGAAAGGCTTCCTCAGTGATCAGTGCAAAGAAATAGAGGAAAACAATAGAATGGGAAAGACTAGAGATCTCTTCAAGAAAATTAGAGATAAAAAGGGAACTTTTCATGCAAAGATGGGCACAATAAAGGACAGAAATGGCATGGACCTAACCGAACCAGAAGATATTAAGAAGAGGTGGCAAGAATACACAGAAGTACTAAACAAAAAAAATCTTCATGACCCAGATAATCACGATGGTGTGATCACTCACCTAGAGCCAGATATCCTGGAATGTGAAGTCAAGTGGCCCTTAGGAAGAATCACTACGAACAAAACTAGTAGAGGTAATGGCATTCCGGTTGAGCTATTTCAAGTCCTAAAAGATGATGCTTTGAAAATGCTGCATTCAGTATGCCAGCAAATTTGGAAAACTCAGCAGGACTGGAAAAGGTCAGTTTTTATTCCAATCCCAAAGCAAGGCAATGCCAAAGAATGTTCAAACTACCATACAGTCGCACTCATCTCACATGCTAGCAAAGTAATGTTCAAAATTCTCCAAGCCAGGTTTCAACAATACATGAATGGTGAACTTCCAAATGTTCAAGCTGCATTTAGGAAAGGCAGAGGAACCAGAGATAAAATTACCAACATCCCCTGGATCGTCAGAAAAGCAAGAGAGTTCCAGAAAAACATCTATTTCTGCTTTATTGACTATGCCAAAGCTTTTGACTGTGTGGATCACAATAAACTGTGGAAAATTCTTCAAGAAATGGGAATACTAGAGCACCTGACCTGCCTCCTGAGAAGTCTGTATGCAGGTCAAAAAGCAACAGTTAGAACTGGACCTGGAACAACAGACTGGTTGCAAGTAGGGAAAGGAGGACGTCAAGACTGTATATTGTCACTGTACTTATTTAACTTATATGTAGAGTACATCATATGAAATGCCAGGCTAGATAAGGCACAAGCTGGAATCAAGATTGCTGGGAGAAATATCAATAACCTCAGATACGCAGATGACACCACCCTTATGGCAGAAGATGAAGAGGCAGAAAGAGCCTCTTGATGAAAGTGAAAGCAGAGAGTGAAAAAGTTGGCTTAAAACTCAACATTCAGAAAACTAACATTCTATCTAAAACTAAAATTTAACATTCATTCCTTCTGGTCCCATCACTTTATGGCAAATAGATGGAGAAACAGTGGAAACAGTGGCAGACGTTATTTTTGGAGGCTCCAAAATCACTGCAGATGGTGATTGCAGCCTTGAAATTAAAAGTCACTTGCTCTTCAGAAGAAAAGCTATGACTAACCTCGACAGCATATTAAAAAGCAGAGACATTACTTTGCCAACAAAGGCCTGTCTAGTTAAAGCTATAGTTTTTCCAGTAGTCATGTATGGATGTGAGAATTGGACTATAAAGAGATCTGAGTACTGAAGAATTGATGCTTTTGAACTGTGGTGTTGGAGAAGACTCTTGAGAGTCCCTTGGACTGCAAAGAGGTCCAACCAGTCCATCCTAAAGGAGATCAGTCCTGAATATTCATTGGAAGGACTGATGCTGAAGCTGAAACTCCAATACTTTGGTCCCCTAATGCTAGGAACTGACTCACTGGAAAAGACCCTCCCTGATGCTGGGATAGAGTGAAGGCCGGAGGAAAAGGGGATGACAGAGGATGAGATGGTTGGATGGCATCACCAACTTGATGCACATGAGTTTGAGTGAGCTCTGGGAGTTGGTGATGAACAGGGAAGCTTGGCGAGCTGCATTCCAGGGGGGTTGCAAAGAGTTGGAACCGACTGAACTGAACTGATGTTGATGAAGAAAGCATTACACTTAATTATTGACTGTAATAATGGAAAGTGCTTAAAGTACTAACTAGTGCTTTAGAGTATTTATAGTGGTTTCTTTATAATCTTATTTACTGTATTTGGTTCCTCTGAACATTTTCTTCAGTTATAACACTGACTTCTTCATTGATAGTGTGCAAAAAGGGGATCTCAGTGTAAAATTGTTTTACTTATTTTTTCTTTTTTATTTATATTTATTTCTTTAGCCATGTCAGGTCTTAGTGGCGTGTGGGATCTAGTCCCCTGATCAGGGATCAAACCTGGACCCCTGCTTTGGGAGCTCACAGTCTTAGCCCCTGGACTACCAGGGAATTCCCCCAATATTTTTCTTTTAAAACAATATCTTTATTCTTTTAAACTCTTACAAGAGTTTCATCTTAGATTTTATATATGATTTTTTAGAAATATATCTATTATGATAGTTACAATTATATGTAAGTATACATAATGTTATATAATTATATTATCATATAATAGAAATTCTACCCATGCAAACATAACACAATTAGAAGGTAATATGCAAAAACGATTTGTACCTTTTTTAAGTTTTGAAGTGTAATTGGCATACAACACTGTATGAGTTTAAAGTGTACAGCAAATGACTTGACTTACATATATTACAAAACAATTTCCACAGTAAGTTAGCATCACAGTTACACTGCATACAATTACAGAAACAATTTTTTCCCTCATGATGAGAACTTTTAGGATCTACTGTCCTAATAGCTGTCAAATATATCATATAGCAGTATTAACTGTAGTCATCATGGTGTACATTACATTCGCATTACTTACTTAAAACTGGTCATCTTGAAGTAAATTTGGACCATCTACTTATATATAGTTCTTCCTTTTGTAACATGAAGTTGTAGCATATCAATTAGTCCTAGTTAGTCCTAACTCCTCCTCCTATGTCCCACTGCCTGTAGGGTGCTTGGCGCTTCCCAGGTGGTGCTAGTGGTAAAGAATTTGCCTGCCCATGGAGGAGATGCAAGAGATGAGATTTTGATCCCTGAGTCAGGAAGATCCTGTAGAGGAGGAGATGGCATGTGGGGTGCCATTCCAGTATTCTTGCCTAAATAATCCCATGGACAGAGGAGCCTGACGGGCTATAGTTCATGGAGTCGTAAAGAGTTGGACACAACTTAGTGATGGAACAAAAACAATAGGGTGCCTAGGAAATAACTAATAATAAACTTAGGTCACATTTTTGGAAATTCATTTCATGTAAGGTGGTTCTGTGCGTTGACATAGGGAGGGCTGTGGGTGTGAGTACATTTCACATGTAGTGCTTTCTAGGTAATGGTCATCTGAGTACTTTATTTGGTTCTCATGAGGAGGTAGGTGGTATTTCTGCCTAGATGTGTGAGGGGACGGGTGTAACAAGTTCAGCCATCTGCCCAGTGCCACGCAGCAGAGCCCAGACCTTGGGTGTCTCCTCTGCCACTCTTTCCACGCTGCTCAGTGCTTTTCAGAGACGGACTTGCTTTCTGCACTGCCTACATTGATGATTTTACTGTTTTTATTGTCATAGGCCAAAAGATGCAGTAAAAGCTTTGAAGAAAAGGATTTCCAAAAACTACAATCATAAAGAAATCCAACTCACATTGTCAGTAAGTACTTTAATGTTAAATGGAGACTAAGATTGCCCAAGTTACAGTCACAATTCTAATTTTGGGTCCAAAGGATACAAATACTCTGGGATAATAGGTTTGCAAAAAGTTATGTACAGTATGGATTAAAATGATTCATTTACTGAGAATTACAGAAGTGATTGTAGGAGCATTTAATTTGGTGGAAAGTAAGTGTTCCTGGAAAATCATTATTTTCCTGGTTAGGAGATGAGAACTGGTAATGAACAACTTGGAGGAACTGAGCTGATCAAGAAGTCTGTGTATGTGTCACATGTGGGGAGAACTGAAGCTTGAAAAACGCCCCCGTTAGCTCCCCGCCTCGCTTGCACACCTCTGGAATTCTGAGGCGCTGGCAGCTCTCTAGGGTCCAGCCAAGTTCTGCTGCCTGATATAATTTGAGTTAAGTTCTTTGTTGATATAAACGGTTCTATGCACCGTGTTTCTTGATGTGGGTGTGGACATTTACCTGAAGTGTTACCGTTTTCCCCCAACCCTGGCTGTGTGCCCCCTGCAGTGGCCGGGGGAGTGGCCGGTCTCACTTCGGTCGGTATGTTTGCAGACCCTGCCTGCTGCCTGAGAGTGAGCTGTGTGCTTGCTGGTGTCTTCTGGGTGCCTTTGCTGACCTCATCCTGGCCCCATGCCATGCCAGGCTGTGGTGCTCCTCTGCCAGCATCAGACTGCCCTTAGGAGGGCTGGGCATGGCTGTCTAGAGGGCTGTGGAGCAGAGCTTCGCTTCGCCCCCCTTTTCTAGCTTCAGGGGGAAAAGAACTTAGCACATCTTGCTTACTTGAAGAAGAAATGAAGTCTTAATGATACTGTCACTGAAGAAACCCTACAAGTTAGGGTCAGAATACAGTTTTAGAGGGATTTTCGCCTCCACCTTTTTGGACCTCTCCCCTCTCCTTCACCATGGTCGCCTCCTCAGGGAGCTCATGGAGTGGAGGGAATGGAGAGAGGATAAGGCGCTTGGGGGAAACAGGAGAATGGTGGGCTGGTGATGGAAAATACACCTTTGCCTGGTACTTTCCTGGTAGCTCGGCTGGCAAAGAATCTGCCTGCAATGCATTAAACGCTGGTTTGATTTCCGGGTCAGAAAGATCTGTTGGAGAAGGAGTAGGCCACCCACTCCAGTCTTCTTGGGCGTCCCTGCTGGCTCAGACGGTAAAGAATCTGCCAGCAATGTGGGAGACCTGGGTTCAGTCCCTTTGTTGGGAAGATCCCTTGGAGAAGGGAAAGGCTACCCCCTCCAGGATTCTGGCCTGGAGAATTCCATGGACTGAGGAGCCTGGGAGACTACGGTCCGTTGGGTCACAAAGAGTTGAACACAGCTGAGTAATTCCCTTTCACTTTGGCTGATGCTCTCAACGACCCTGTGAAGAAGTTGTATTATTGACTCCGCTTCTCAGATGAAGAAACTGATGCTTGGTGAGGTTAAGTGATGTTTTTTATTTTTTTCCTCTAAGTTTAAAGTAGCATAGGCAAGATTTCAGTTCAGGTCTCAGATTCTAAATTCCATGCTCTTGCCCCTCACCACCTTGCTTATCTGAACAAATCACGCCCCTTGAAAGAACAGTCACTGTGTTTCATTTCTGTCTTCAACTTCTTTGTGGTGGAAGATCTAGGGTATCAGGTGTTGACTGACTGAGTGTCCTTCAGCCCCCAGCCCCCTCTCCTAGCATCCAGGAAGGACTCAGGGAATGATTGTGATTTGGCGTAGAAGGGTATACAGCTGTGCCCTGAAATGGAGGCCATCCCAGGACTGCTGAAGGTTAGCAGAATTGACTGAGGAACCTAAGGGCAGAAGGTGAATTTACGCCGCTTTCTGAATTTCAGCATGCGGCGTTTCACCTTCTGACAGCTGTGGATTCTGTGTGATGCCTTTGTCTCTCTGTGTTGCAGTCAGCTTCCCCGTCCTTTCGGCGGTGGCTTCTTGTCCCTGGTCTGTCACTTCCTCCGTCCGGGTTCCTTCCCTCCGGGGATGAATCAGGACTCTGTTCCTGAGTGTTGTGTCTCGTGCCCCCATGGCTCTTGGAGGCCCCACACTTTCTCCCCTGCAGCTCATCTGATCGCTCAGGCCTTGCTCACAGCTTGCTGCGTGTTCCCTGTTCCACCTCTGGTAACTGTTTCGTCCTCGCCTCCCAATTTCCATACCAGCATGTGAGAGCAAGTGAGTCTGAGACCCGTGCCAGAGTAGAGATGACAGTCACAGGTTAGGAGCCAGAAGAGCTCCTCACATCAGGGGCAGAGTTTATTAAGCTTCCTGCTTCTTGGGCTTGTTTGACTTGGCCTTTGATTCTTGATAGCTTCATGCAGCCTTCCCTGAGTTCTTTATTTAATGGCCCAGGCAACCCTACCTCATACTCACTCACTGCACTGGAGTGGTGTGTTAATGCTTCAGAACAGACTTTAATATAAACTTAAGCCACACTTAATTATGAGAGAAACTAGTCACAGAAAGAAATATCCAGTGTCTGTCAAAGGCAAGTATTTGTTTACCAATAAACTCTTTAACAATGGATCCTCATATGTTACATTTCCAGTTGATCACGGTGAAGTGATGAGAGCCTGTCAAAGGTGATTATAAATGTCCTTTGTATTATCTGTCATTTAGGTTCTTCATGGACTTGTTAGCCTAGATTAGGTCTTTGCTGGGATCTGACTAGACTCTGATTTCCTAACAGTTGGTGGTGTAGTTTTGTCAAGAAGCCTGTTCTTTTGTCTTATTTTAAAAACCATTTAGTTACCAGGCTTTATAATTCTTCCTATCAAGAGATGGGAATACCAGACCACCTTACCTGCCTCCAGAGAAATCTGTATGCAGCTCAAGAAGCAACAGTTAGAACTGGACATGGAACAACAGGCTGGTTCCAAATAGGAAAAGGAGTACATCAAGGCTGTGTGTTGTCACCCTGCTTATTTAACTCACATGCATAGTACATCATGAGAAACGCTGGGCTGGATGAAGCACAAGCTGGAATCAAGATTGCTGGGAGAAACATCAATAACCTCAGATATGCAGATGACACCACCCTTATGGCAGAAAGCAAAGAGGAACTAAAGAGCCTCTTGATGAAAGTGAAAGAGGAGAGTGAAAAAGCTGGCTTAAAACTCCACATTCAAAAAAATGAAGATCATGGCATCCAGTTCCGTCACTTCATGACAAATAGATGGGGAAACAATGGAAACAGTGACAGACTTTATTTTCTTGGTCTCCAAAATCACTGCAGATGGTGACTGCACCCATGAAATTAAAAGATGTTTGCTCCTTGGAAGAAAAGCTGTGACCAACCTAGACAGCAAAAAAGCAGAAATACTACTTTACCGACAAAGGTCTGTCTAGTCAAGCTATGGCTTTTCCAGTAGTCATGTATGGATGTGAGAGTTGGACTATAAAGAAAGCTGAGTGCCAAAGAATTGATGCTTTTGAACTGTGGTATTGGAGATGACTCTTGAGGGTCTCTTGGATTGCAAGGAGATCAAACCAGTCAATCCTAAAGGAAATCAGTCCTGAATATTCATTGAAAGGACTGATGCTGAAGCTGAAACTCCAATACTTTGGCCACTTGATGCAAAGAACTGACTCATTTGAAAAGACCCTGATGCTGGGACAGGTTGAAGGCAGGAGGAGAAGGGGACGACAGAGGATGAGATGGCTGAATGGCATCACCAACTCGATGGATATGAGCTTGAGCAAGGTCCGGGAGTTGGTGATGGACAGGGAAGCCTGCCGTGCTGCAGTCCATGGGATCGCAAAGAGTCAGAGACAACTGAGCGACTGAACTGATAACACTTTTTTTTTGTTTACATACATCCCCTCCCTTTTGAACCTCCCTCCTGTCTCCCTCCCCATCCCTTCCCTCTAGGTGGATTCAGAGCCCCTGTTTGAGTTTCCTGAGCCACACAGCAAATTCCCATTGGCTATCTATTTTACATATGATAGTGTAAGTTTCCATATTACTCTCCATACATCTCACCCTGTCCTCTCCTCTCCCCATGGCCATAAGTCTCTTCTCTACATCTGTTTCTTCATTGTTGCCCTATAAATAAATTTTTCGGGACCATTTTTCTAGATTCCATATATATGTGTTAGAATACAGTGTTTTTCTTTCTGACTCACGTCACTCTGTATAATAGGTTCTAGGTTCATCCACCTCATTAGAGCTGACTCAAATGCATTCCTTTTTATGGCTGAGTAATATTCCATTGTGTATATATACCACAGCTTCTTTATCCATTCATCTGTTGATGGACATCTAGGTTGAACTGAACTGATAATTCTTAGCCAGTCTAGTCTTTACTTGGATGAGTCAGTTATGATAAGTCTCAGCAAGGTACTATTATTGTGAAGAGGAAAGTGGTTGAATAGGTTCCTGGGAATCAGTTAATTAGTTGAAGCATCCCTTGGGTGGTGAGTTATGGGGACTTCAGAATTAGTGTAAAATGTCTTTATTCCTCTAGAAACTTACAAAGTAAGCTCATCCCCTAAAGTGGCCTTACCATGGTATGGTTTTCAGCTCTGGATGACCCCAAAGCCTGGGTTACTATGCTTAGTTTAGACATTTGCCATGAGAAATAAACCTACCACGGAGCTCTTTTTTTCTAGCATTTTTGAAAGGACTACTTATCTCGGCTCATCAATATTTTCTTTCTTGATGGGAAATTATCCCTGTGAGTAGACGATCACAGTACTTAGCATTTATTAAGGTCCTGCTATGTGTCAGGCGCTTCATATACATGACTTTTCGCTTAAGCCTTACAGCAGGTCTCTGGAGGAAGGTAGGCTTATTTTGCAGTTGGTGATCCTGAGGCTTGGTCAGGATCAGTGATTTGCCCAGACAAGTGCAGAGGGGCAGCTGTGAGGCCTCGGATTAGAATCCTCTGTGGTCTCTCAGTTGCTGCCTCCTTCTGGATCCCTGGGTTCTCTCCTCCACCTCAGATTACGGTTTCTTGGTTCATAGGTTATGAGTGCTCACTCGCTTAGTTGTGTCCAGCTCTTTGCAGCCCCCTGGACTGTATCCCACCAGGCTCCTGTCTCCATGGAGTTTTCCACCAAGAATACTGGACTGGGTTGCCATTTCCTCCTCTAGGGGAATCTTCCCAACCCAGGAATCGAACCCACATCTCTTGCGTCTGCTGCAGCTCTTGCACTGGCAGGCAAATTCTTTACCACTATGCCACCTGGGCAGCTCCATGTTCCTAGGTTATATGAACACATAAATTGCACCGAAGCCCAATTCCAAGATGTGTAGAAACAAGGTTTATGATTTTTTCAATTCACCAATGTAAGTTTACTTGCTTAGCTAAGTGGGCTGGGGTGTGAGAGGTACTATGACATGAAGGAAGAGACGATAGCATAGAAGTAATCATTCCTGACACTCTAGATTCCAGTGGGAAAACACAAAGGGCATGGTTTATGATCTCCAGATGTTAACATTCTCAGCATTTCATACTGACTCTTTGATTTTTATAGGTAACTTCCTGGGAAGGTTACCCATTAACCTAAAATCTTGATGCTCCAACAACAAAAAGTGCTTTGTGGAATATTTAGCATTTATTTTACTATTATGGAAGATGAGACTTGGAGGCAAAGTATTTTGCCTCAGACTGCTTAACTGGTTATGTGAAGTATTTCTATAAATTCCCATTGAACTAGAAGCACTTTTTCCTCTCTGCATTTCACCTGATAAAAACTCATCATAATAGTGTATTAAGCAAAAAGTCATTTGTTATTCAACTTGTCTTTCTCTAAACAAGTTGTATTAAATAGATTCATCTTAATATGTTTTGGATTCTGATTTTATTTTCCTGTGGTTAAAGGCCCTCCCTATGTTTCACATGCTGCATGTGCTTAGCTTCTATATTTTATGGTTGCTTTGTTAGCAGTGATGCCCTTAAAACTATAGCTTTCATACCTTCTTCTTTTTATGTTGCCATTAAAGTGACAGAATACAGAGCATGGTGTAAAATCAATTTTCAGGACTCCTTTTCTGCAGAGATTATACCTATCCTGGTCACATTATGGTCTTTGTGACCTCTGAGAAGGTGGAAGCATGGCCACTAGAGGTTTCATTGTGTTTTTAGATCACTTTCAGAAATACGCTTTCTGCATGCAGTCCTTCAGTACCAGCTCATTCTTTCTTAGCCTGTCTTCTGTTCATGTTGCTGTATTGAAAATCTTTCTTTTTTTTTCAAAATGACTGATGACTCCACTAATCAACAAACCTGAGTTTTTCTCACTCCATAGTCCTAACTGTTTGACACTCCATCGTCCTGAAACTCCTGCCCACTTTTGACTCTATGAGCCTCGTGTTCTGTTTATTTCATGCCTCCGTTTCTGTTGGTTGCTCGGACTGCCTTTCTTGATCCCCCTTCTGGCCTCCAAGTTGAATCCCACTGTGCTCCTCCTCTCTGCTCATCCTCGGCGGCCCCAGTTACTCGCTTTGGGCTTAAGTCTCTCCTGAACTGTATTTGTGCGTGTACAGCTCTCAGCAAGAAGTCTCCACTTGAATGTCTCTGTCCTTTTGTCTTAGTTATCTTAGCTGCTCTCACAAGGTACCATCAACTGGGTGGCTTAAGCAACAGACTTTTCTGTTTGACCCAGTCCTTGAGGCTGTGAAGTCCAAGGTCAGGTCCAGTGTCTGAGGAGGGCCTGCCCTCTGGCTTGTCGATGGCTATCTTCTCATAGCCTCATGTGGCCAAGGAGAGATCAATCTCTTATCCCTCCTGTCTAAGAAAGGTGGGAGGAGAAGGGGACGGCAGAGGATGAGATGGTTGGATGGCATCACCGACTCAATGAACAGGAGTTTGAGCAAACTCTGGGAGATTGTGAAGGACAGGGAAGCCTGGCGTGCTGCAGTCCATGGGGTCACAAAGAGTCAGACTCAACTGAGCAACTGAAGAGCAACAATCTCATTCATGAAGACTATAGCCTCGTGACCTGATTTCCTCCAAATACCATCATGTTAGGGATTAGGAGGTTCACCATAGGAATTTGGGAAGGACACAGACATTCAGTCTGCAGCAGTTATAAACTCAAAATATGTAAGTTTCCACCCATCATTTTGACCTTAGGCCAGCCATACTATCCCATCCACTTCCAGATTTCCATCCAGAGTGGTATCAATCTCATGCAGAGTGACAGTCATTTAACTTTCAGCCTTTCCCTGTCAACAAATACCTGGTTGTTGGAAGTCCTTCCGTCATGATTCTCATGTCTTCCCCTTCCTTAGACCCTCATCACCCTCTTTTAGGCCTGTCTGCGTCAGGCTCTACCAGGGGGTCCTTGCTGGATCTCTCCGTCATTTCAGAGTCTTTGCCCTCCAGTTGCTTTTGTGGGGTGCTGCACCAACCTTCTCTCAAGTTCAGGATGGAGGTGTGATGGGGACAAACTAAGGACCCTCCAGTGGCTTCCTGGTGCCTTCTCAATAATGTCCAGATTCTTTACATTGCCGCACAACTTTCTGCACAGTCTGGATGAAGCCCCTCCAGACTTTATCCATACAGTTCCCCAGGGTCTCCAGTTTGTCAATATAAAGAAGCCTCTCCAAAGCAGAAAACTTCTTTTCCTTTTCACAGCTCATACACTTCATCACCTGTACATATATTTTATTTTATGATTTACCTGTCTAGACTATTGCTTTATATGCATTTATCCTTTTCTTGACCATTTTTCAAAGGCCAGCTTAGGACCACCTTTTTCCAAAAGTCTTAAACACATGGCCGTAAATGGTCACATCTGCCTGTAAAGGTCTGTAGCTGGAGTAGCCATGTAAGTTTTCATCCAGGCAAGGACTTTTTTGGAACTGAAAGGAGATGATGTCATTAATAAAGCTGGGGCAATAGGAATTCACCAGGACTTCCCTGGAAACACTAGGACAGATGTCACCTTGTCTAGAGCCAACATGCTTTGTTTGCACCTCCGCCTGGCCCTTGACATTACCAACTCCCAATGTTATCATTTCTCTTATAATTATGTCCCGGCTCCCCAGCAAGACTGTCTGTCTGCTAAGCAATTACATTCTGCCTTACATTTCCTCACATTCCCAGAACCGAACATTTTGCCATGTATTTTAGTAGATAACCAAATTTTGTTTATTAATTAGAGTGCTGGTGGAAATCATTACTTAGCAATTTTTGTCTCATATTTTGGGGGTGGTTTTGCCAAAGAGATAAAATGTTTGATTTTTCTCTTTAGCTTATTGACATGTGCATGCAGAACTGTGGTCCGAGTTTCCAGTCTCTGATTGTGAAGAAGGAATTTGTTAAAGATAGTCTAGTTAAGCTGCTGAATCCCAGATACACCTTGCCGATAGACATTCAGAATAGAATTTTGAATTTCATTAAGGTAAGTCTGTTATATACCTTATGGGATGGTGAATGTCTAAGATTAGAAGCTTAGTTTCCTAACTCCCAGTTGGTTCAGTGATCCTTTATAAGCCTGGGATTGAGCCTCAGAGTGTTTTTATTATTCTGTTTTCCGTGTAATAATTTCTTGGCATTGGGCACTGGCCTTTTTCTGAAGAATTTATAGTCTTTCCCATACTGGTCTCTCAGTTTCTATTTTATGTATATCAGATAGAAGAGATAGTGATGTATACATTTATTTTGCAGATGTGGAAACTATGTTCTGGGCTCGATAACTCACTGCCTGCAGAGTTATTTGGCAAAAGATCTACTGATGCTGTTTTAGAGTCTATTAATTCTAGATTTAGTATAGCAAAAAACAATCAATAGTATCTATTCTAGAGTTTCATTAAATTGTTGAGGCATGGCAGTCTGATGATTAAAAATATTTTACATTATTCTAATCTCTAAAAATGGACGTTTTGGACTTTCCTGATGATCCAGTGGTTAAGATAACGTGCTTCCAGCTCCTTCACTGCCGAGGGCGTGGGTTCAGTCCCTGGTTGGGGAGTTAGGATCCCATATGCTGTGTGACACAGCCAAAAACAAATAACCGCCTCCACCCCCCCACCCCGCAAAAAAAAAACCTGTAAAAAGTGTATATTTTGGGTATGGCATTAAAAAGTAGCTTTCTCTTCCTGAGTGAGCTTCATAATTGTCAGGCTCTGGTTTTTTGGTCGTCACTTTCAGAATTGTTTTGTTTTGCTGCTCCTTTCTCTCTGAAACTTTCCGTCTCTTGAATTCAGACGTGGTCGCAGGGTTTCCCAGGAGGTGTGGATGTCAGTGAAGTGAAAGACGTGTACCTGGACCTCCTTAAGAAAGGGGTTCAGTTTCCTTCATCAGACGCAGAGACTGAAACAGCCAGACAAGAGGTAGGAGCCCCTTTTTTGACCTGTGTAGAGAAAGACAGTGAAGGGCTTGGGTCTTTTTTCATTCAAAGGAATGACTCTAGCTCCACCTAGCTTAAGCTGAAAGATGAATCTGTGATATCATAGAATAACCAGGCCACAAGAAGGCTGGTGTTAGCTGCATGTTTGGAACAACAGAGAACCAAGATTCAAATGCCTCGTTACTTGTCTGCTCCCCTTCGACAATCAGCCCATTCTTCTCTCATTGCAGACCAGTTTTCCCCACGGGGTAGGCAGCACGCCAGGCCTGCCATGCATGTGCCTGCTAAGTAACCGCAGTCTGACTGTGCAGGGCTCCCCGGGTGGCGCTAATGGTAGACAACACAGCTCCCACATTTTCATGTTGCAGCCTTAGCTTTTTTAGATTCAAAGCTCACAATTGCAGAGAAAGGACTCATTGAAGCAACGTGGGTCAGTTTTCCATTTCTGAACAAGTTAACTGAGGTCTTGGCAGAATGTGATGGCTCCATATAGAAATCGTTTAGGTGGAGCAGAGTAGGGGCAGTTTTAGAAGAAAAGACTGTGCTACTCTGGCAAGGGTATCTGTTAGGAGTCATGTAATGAATTTGTTTATTAATACTGTGCCCATACAAGAGTCTCTTGATGTTCACGTGTATTCATTCTCAAGTCTGTAAATAATGTTCCAGGTTTTGAGCTTATAACACTTTGAGAGACTGATTATAAGTCAACTCCTGGCTTCCTGTCATTTCCATAATGTAAAAACAGTAGTTCTTCCCTTCTGTAGATTGGTGAGTCCTGCCTTGATAGGAAAAGCAATTCATGTGTACACCAGAGTCTGACCTTTGTGAAGGCTTTGTCCTGAGGGCTGACTCTCCCTGGTGAGTGAGTCATCTGAATGGAAAGACGGGTGTGCAGTGGCCAAGTTAATTCCAATAATAATATTTCCACTTTTCGTAGATGGCACTGAATCCACCACCATCTGTTCCTTCTGCACCAGCTCTTCCTTCTGTGGTTCCCAAGATCTCCACTATTACGCTGGTCCCAGAACAGGTAACAATAGCGATGGTTGTATTTATTGATGACTTTTTCTAAGTTCTAAGCACTTTATATATAGTTTGTTTATTCTTAGCAATGTTATCATAAGGTGGAGGTACCTTTTAGCCTCATTTTATAGAGAAGGGGACTAAAGTGTGTGTGTGTATGATGATTCAGCTCTAAATGGAATTAATCCCATGAATTCTGCCTGATTCTGAATGCCTGAACTTTAACAGTCGTGCTTGTCTAGTGGCTTATGTGGCTTTGTGGAGGCTTGGCTGTGCTGATCCTGTTGCTCCTGATAAGACTGCCCATATGCCATTTCAGACAGCTCAGTGAATGGTAGTCTTATTACTGATATTAATTGTGCCAAGCGAGTTTCATTTACTGCTTTGTCTATTATCTGTTTATCAAAGGTTTAGACAAGCAGTTATTAAATGAAGCTCATTTCCGTCCTGCTATAAAAGAACTATCATTTAAGACTTTGTAGGGACTTCCCTGGTGGTCCGGTGGTTAAGAATCCGCCTTCCAATGCAGGGGACCCTGGCTCCACCCCTGCTTGGAGAGCTGAGATGACACCTGCTACAGGGCAGTTAGGCCCGTATGCCACAGGAAAGCCCCAGTGTGGCCAAAGGTTAAAAAAAGAAGACCTCGAATTATTATTATTTGGTATTATATAGTAGTCCATGTGATTAATTTCTCTTGGAATTATAATCTAGGAAGAAAAAAAAAATGTTTCTCTATTGATTCTTCCTTCTTTAATACTATGGAACTATAAAACATTCATTTTTTTCCTCCTCCATTGGTTTCCAGGAAATCCAGACTCACATTTGCCATTTTGTCCAGGTTCCTGATATGGTCATCTTCTCTTTTCTCCATGTTGGTTCTAATCTGACTTTTCCCCTTCAACTTTCCTAGGGCATGTTTTTAAACATAATACAAGCTCTCTCAAGACCTTTTAGAAGGTGACAGATTATACACTTGTGAAATCATTATATGTACATTTATATAAATTCAAAGGCACTAGATTTTACAGAAGTGTTTTCTCTGCGAGCAGGAAGCAGAGTTATTCTGCGTCTCACTGGTTATTGTGTTGCCGTCTGCAGATTGGAAAACTGCACAGTGAATTGGATATGGTGAAAATGAATGTGAGAGTGATGTCTGCCATACTGATGGAGAACATTCCTGGTTCTGAGAACCATGAAGACATAGAGCTTCTGCAGGTGAAGTATGATTTCAGGGGCAATCAGTTACAGTGTCTCTTATTCTCTCAACTTAGAGCCTGTGAGATGGAAGACACCCTCACATTGACTAGTCCATCCCCTTCCCGTCTTCCGTTGATTTTTTAAACTTAACAGGAAGATGGATGGATGACTTTTATCAGAAATGCAGTAGTAAGTCAGATGTGGTATTTACCCTCTTGGAATAAATAATTTAACATCATTAATCATTGATAGCCTTGCCATATAAAATTTCTGGTAGTCTGTAATTGTTTTAAATGTGTAATGTTGCCTCTGTATCTATTTATTCAACAAACATAATGAGTAACTACAATGTGGTAAAGGATATAAAAATGAGGAGGCTATCTCTAGTCCTTATGGGACTTGGGACTAGTAAGCAAGATTGCTTTGTAAAATGAAGTGTTATAGTATTGCTGCTCTAATAGAAATGTATTTATCATACTGTAGGTTCCGAAGTGAGGGGCATGGAGAAAGGGGAGGGTTTCTGGAAAGGTTCAGAGAGAGGCACTGCTGAGGCTGGGACCGAGCCAGTGGACGGTGCATGGGGACCTGCGTGAGCGTGTGAAGGACCTCCAGCAGTTCCGACTGCGGTGGGGGCCCTCCTAGGCCCTTTTCTGTGTCTCTGCATCCAGACCGTTTCTTCCCTCTGATAGGTTTGTTCTAATTATCTATTTTAAGTTTTAACACACACTTCTAACATAATTTTAGAAGCAGAGGGAAAAAAAAAATCAGTTTTTAAATCTTTTTCTTCCCCAAAAAGTTAAGAAACTTGTCATGTTTTTGCTTTTCTCCGATTCCCACTCCCCAAGTCTCATGTTGTTGTTACCTTTCCTTTAAGTCCTTTGATTGTTAGTAAGTGAAATTTTTCTTGATTATCGCTTGCTTGGGAAACAGTAAATGGTAAAAATGCCCTTTTTTGACATTACCACTTATATTTAACTGCTATTTCCTTAGATCGTTACTAGTGGTAAACCTTGAGGGTTTACATGTCCAAAGATGTCTTTTGGCTGCTGTGTTAAGGTCTCCTGGTTTTCTCTAAAAATAGTTACTATCCTTAGACAGATAAAAGGGGTTAATACAGAATCCTAGATACAGAGTTATTTTCCTTAAGTACTTCAAAGATACTGCTTGCTTCATTATTCTTGTACCCAGTGATGCTATTGAGAAGTATGGTATTATGGATTCTTGCACCTTTGTTTTATAATCTGTTTCCTCTGGTTGTATTTGTGACTTCTCTCTAATGCCTCTGAAATTTCACTATACTGTGTACAGGGGTGTGTGTGCATGTTTGTGCATATGTGTATTTCCCTTAACTTTAATCTCCTTAGAACTTGAGAGGCCTTTTGCACTGTCAACTTATGTTTATTTTAGTTCTGGGGAATTCTCAGCTCTTACTTCAGATATTTCTTTTCTAGTATTCTTTCTGTTCTCTTTGTATGGAACATTGTTTAGATGATGAAACTTTTAGTTATATTTTTCTTATCTCATCTTTCTTATACATTTTGATTCTTTCTTTTGTGCTGTAGGTCTAGCAAAGCTTCTCCAGTTCACATATTATTTCTCTTAAGCTTGAATATCAGTTTGTGTATTCAGCCCTTCTAATGAATGTTTTATTTCAAGTTTTTTAGACTTTATTTTTGTTTATTTTTTTAGCACCAAAAACATTTTGTAGTGGGGTACAGCTGATTAACAGTGTCGTGGTAACCTCAGGTGAGCAGTGAAGGGACTCAGCCGTGCGTCTGTGTGTATTCGTTCTCCCCCAGATGCCCCCCGTCCAGCCTGGCAGATAACACTGAGCAGAGTTCCCCATGCTCTACAGTAGGTCTTTTCCAATTATCCGTTTTAAATGCCGTCGTGTGTACCTGGCCTTCCCAGAGTCCTTCCTCAGCCTTCCCCCTGACCACCATGAGCTCCTTTTCTGTTTGTGAGCCTCTCTGTTCTGTAAGCAGGTTCGTTTTAGAGGCCACACATAACGGTGTCACGGGCTACTCCCCCTTCTCTGACTGGCTTCAGTCAGTGTAACGTTCGCTGCGGGCTTCCGTGTCGCTGCGGATGGCCATGTCTCACTCTTTAATGGCTGCAGATGTCCCATCGCGTACACCGCACCGTCTTTGTCCGTGTGTCTGCCAGTGGCCGTGCAGGTCGTTTCCGTGTCTTGGCTGTTGTAAACAGCGCTGCAGTGAACACTGGGGGCCTGCCGCTTCGGGCCGTGTTTTTCTCTGCGCATAGGCCCAGGAGCGGGATTGCAGGGTCACCCTAGCTCTGCTTTTGGTTTTTAAGGAACCTCCATGCTGTTCTCCGTAGTGGCTGTGTTGTTGTTGTTCGGATGCTCAGTCGTATCCAGCTCTTTGTGACCCCACGGACTGCAGCACGCCAGGCTTCCCTGTCCTCCACCACCTCCAGGAGCACACTCAAGCTCATGTCCATTGAGGTGGTGATGCCATCCAACCATCCCACCCTCTGTCGTCCCCTCCCCTTCTCCTACCTTCAGTCTTTTCTACCAACAGGACTTTTTTCTAATGAGTTGGTGCTTCGCAGGAGGTGGCCAAAGGATTGGAGCTTCAGCTTCTGCATCAATCTTTCCGATGAATATTCAGGACTGATCTCCTTTAGGATGGACTGGGTGGATCTCCTTGCAGTCCAAGGGACTCTCAAGAGTCTTCTCCAGCACCACAGTTCAAAAGCATCAATTCTTCAGCATTCAACCTTCTTTATGGTCCAACTCTCACATCTATACATGACTACTGGAAAAACCATAGCTTTGACTATACAGACCTTTGTTGGCAAAGTAATGTCTCTGCTTTTTAATATGCTGTCTAGGTTGGCCATAGCTTTTTTTCTGGGGCAGGAGGGTTCCCTTTCTCTCCACACCCTCTCCAGCATTTGTTGTTTGTCGATTTTTTGATGATAGCCATTCTTACTGGTGTCAGGTGGTATTTCATTGTAGTTTTGATTTGCATTTCTCTAATAACTAGCGATTTTTAATATCTTTTCATGTGTCTGTTGGCCATCTGTATGTACTCTTTAAAGAAATGTCTATTCAGATCTTCTGCCCATTTTTTTGAGTGGGTGTTTGTTTTGATGCTAGAAGCATCATAAGCTGTTTGTAAATTTTGGAAACTAATCCCGTATCAGTCACATCATTTGCAAATATTTTCTCCCAATCTGTAGGTTGTCTTTCTGTTTTGTTTATTGTTTCCTTTGCTGTGTAAAACCTTTTGAGCTTGAACAGGTCCCATTTGTTTATTTTTGCTTTTATTTCCATTATTCTGGGAGGTGGACTTAAAAAGATGTTGCCATGATATATGTCATAGAGGATTTAGCCTATGTTTTCCTCTAAGAGTTGTAAAGTGTCTGGTCCAGCATTTAGGTGTTTAATTCATTTTGAGCTCATTTTTGCATATGGAGTTAAGGAATGATCTAATTTCATTTTTGACATATGGCTTTCCAGTTTTCCCAGCACCATTTGTTATTTCAACAATTTTTTATTTTAAAAATTTATTTCATTATAGTAGTTCTTTCATGGATGAGCTTTCCCCTTTTATCTTTTAAGGATAATTGTTTGTAAAGGCACTTTTCCATTTGCTCTGTGGATTCTCTTTGCTTGGGTGCAAGTTCTTTTGTTCATCACCTCTCACATTTCATCCCTTAAATATCTGGACAGATTGGTGATAGTAAGCTCGTTGCGGCTGCTCTCGCTGTGGAGCACGGGTTCCTTTGGTGATAGTAAGCTTGTTGTTTAACAGTAACTGGTTCACTTTGGCTGTCCCGGGCCCTCCCTGCCACTCACGGGCTGCTCACTGCGGCAGCTGCTCTTGCTGTGGAGCACGGGTGCTGGGTGTGTGTGCTCGGGGGCTGCGGCGTATGGGCTTAGTTGCCCCGCAGCATGTGGGGTCCTCCAGGACAGTGATCAGGCCTGTGTCCCCTGCATTGGCAGGCAGGTCCTTAACCACCAGACCACCAGGGAAGTCCCGTGAGCTCATTTGGTGTGTGAGACCTCTGACAGCTGGTCTACATTCTGTGACCCAGCTTGCTCGTGCTGAAGGGAAGACAGTATTGCTACATCTTGTGCTTAGTACTGTTTCTGAGTATTTTTACGTTTGCTGCAGTTTTCAGACTGTAGCATTGACATGGGGCTTCCTTGGTCACTCAGAATCCATCTGAGGTCGAGTCTGAGGATTCTGAGGTGGTAAAGAATCCATCTACCAAGGCAGGTTTGATCCCTGCGTCAGGAAGATCCCCATAGAAGGAAGTGGCAACCCACTCCAGTGTTCTTGGCTGGGAAATCCCATGGACAGAGGATCCTGGTGGGCTACAGTTCATGCGGTCACAAAGAGTCAGACATGACTTCATGCCTATACAACAACAACGGCATCATTAGCATGGGGTGATTCTGGGTGGGATGTATTGGTCAGTAGTTTTCTGAGTTACATGTTGTGGTTCAGTCGTCCAGTCGTGTCTTTGCGACCCCATGGACTGCAGCAACATAAGGCCTCTCTGTCCCTCACCATCTCCTGAAGTTTGCCCATGTTCATGTCCATTGCATCGGTGATGCCACCCAGCCATCTCATCCTCTGATGCCCTTTTCTCCTTCTGCCCTGAATCTTTCCCAGCTTCAGGCACTTTGCTAGTGAGTCAGCTGTTTGCATCAGATGACCAAAATACTGGAGTTGCAACTTCAGCATCATTCCTTCCAATGAGTATTTAAGGTTGATTTCCCTTAAGATTGACTGGTTTGATCTCCTTGCCGTTCAATACATACTTCCTATTTTTTCTGGACGCTACTAGCAACGGCAGACAGTGTCCATTGTCTCTGTCCCAAGCATTGCTCCCACTTGGACACGGATATTCCTGCTTCTCTGTCTGGCCTCCTGCGGGAAAGGAGGCGTGGAGAGGGGTCGTCGTGTCTTAGTTGTTTGTTAGCTGCCCCTAATTCCATCTTGTGGCTTCCATGCTCTGTAGTCACAGAGCAGCTTTCATTT